ATATCTCTCCTTACTCATTTTCCATAGTTTAGTCTTTGTTATTTTAGATAGTTTCTTCTGATCTGTATTCCAGTTTATCAAGTCTCTGTTCAGCTGTATCTGACATATATTAAAGAGATCCACTGAGTTCTTAATTTTGGTTATTTTTTAAGTAGTAGAATTCCTAATTGGTTCTTTTCCAAGTTAAAAAAAAAACACAATCTGCATTAAATAATTTTAATATCTGGTGGCCTTGTGGTATGTTTTTTAGTTATCTAGTGCTGCTATAACAGAAATACCACAAATGGATGGCTTTAACAAATTTATTCTCTCACAGTTTAGGAGGCTAGAAGTTCGAATTCAGGGTGCCAGCTCCAGGGGAAGGCTTTCTGTCTCTGTTGGCTCTGGGGGAAGGTCCTTGTATCAATCTTCCCAGGTTGAGGAGCTTCTCAGTGAAGGGACCCCTTGTCCAAAGGACACGGTATTCTCCTGGCTCTTGTTTCTTAGTATGAGGTCCCCGCATCTTTCTCCTCGCTTCTCTCTTTTATATCTCAAAAGAGATTGACTTAAGACACAACCTAACCTTGTAGATTGAGTCCTGCCTCATTAACGTAACTGCCACTAAACCCATCTCATCACATCATAGAGCTAGGATTTACAACACATAGGAAAATCAAATCAGATGACAAAATGGTGGACAATCACAATACTGGAAATGATGACCTAGCCAAGTTGACAAATATTTTTGGGGGACACAATTCAATCCATGGCAGTTTCTATTGTTAATTTTTCAATTGATTCTGGTGTACTGCATTCTCTGTCATTTATTTGAAATTACATTCATTATGTGCACCACCATTTTATCTGAAATACTTTCAGAAATAATATCATCCTCAGGAGAGGGTATTTCTTTCAGTCAGACATTGGAAGGCTAGCAATTCATGACCAAAAAAATTTTTTTTTCCTAGAGCTGAACTACAATTAATACTGCCACTCCAGTCTTTTTGCGGAAGTTTCTCCAGTCACTCCTGTGGTTGGCTGACACCAAACTTGTAGATATTCTCAAGAAGGGCTCATATTTGCATGCTTAAAACTGTTTTCTATGGTCTTGATACTTGGAGGACAGCTTGACCTAATATAAAATCATTGGGTCACACTTTCCGTCCTTGAGATTTTCAAAAATTCTGCTTAAATTTGCCTTGCTTTGCATGTTATTTGTGAAAGTCTGATGCCAGTCTAATTCTCTTGCCCTTGCAAGTTATTTGGTCTTTTTTGCCTTTAGGTCCTGAGAACTTTCTTAACTTTCATAGTCTAATACGTTTTCTAGGATATGTCTTGGAGTTGATTGCTGATGGTCAATTTTTCCAGTACTCTGTAGGCCCTTTCAATATGACGATTCAAGTCTTATTTCAGTAAAGTTTTCTTAGACTACAGTTCTTTTTAAAACTTTTGAACAAATTTTAGATTTATAGAAAAGTTGCATATAAAGTACATAGAGTTCCTGTATATACCTCACTCTCCTCCCCTAATACTAACACCTCACATAACACAATTACCAAAATAAAAAATTAACATTAGTTTAATACTATTAACTAAACTGCAGACCTTATTTGAATTTCACGTTTTCTCACTAATGTCCTTTTTCTGCATCAGGATCCTATCCTGGAGTCCACATTGTGTGTAGTTATTTCCCTCAGTCTCCTCCAACCTGTAGCAATTCTTCCGTCTTCCCTCATCTTTCATGATCTTAAAACTTTTGAAGAGTATTTGTAAGTTATCTTGTAGAATGTCCTTCAGTTGGGGTTGTCTGATATTTTTGAATGAAGTTATGCATTTTTTGTAGGTATATTACAGAAATGATTTTGTATATTTCTCAGTGAATCATATTAAAGGGTTCAAAAAGTTAGTATGTCTTATTACTGGTGATGTTAACTTTAATCACTTGGTTAACATAGTGACTGCCAGGTTCCTCTAAAATTAGTATCTTTCCCTTTGTAGTTAATATCTTGAGGAACGCACTTTGAAACTATGCAATCTGTTTCTTAAACTTTTGCCCACTGATTTGGCTTCTTTAGTTTTCTTCGGTCAGATGGGTCTTCAATGATCACCACTTCCTGGTATTTATACTCTTGTGTTATCCCCTCCCACATTGTACCAGGGTTGGTATGCGACAGAGATGACCATATGCCTCTTGCAAGATGAGGTAATAAAAAAAACACTGTGGCTTTCCTCTTAAGCATGCGCTCTTGCTCTTGGTCTTTCTTGGATCACCCTCTCTGAGTCTCTGGAGGAAACCAGCTGCTGTGTCATGAATAATCTTATGGAGTGATCCATGTAGCAGGGAATGGAAACCTCTGGCTAACAGTCACATGAGCAAGCTTGGAAACATCATCCAGGCCCAGTCAAGCTTCAGATGGCTGACACCTTGACTGAAGTCTTATGAAAGACTGAACCATAACTACCCAGCTAAACTTCACTGGGATTCCTAACTTACAAAAACTGTGAGGTAACAACTATTTGTTGTTTAAAGTCACATAGTTTTGGGGTAATTTGTTATATAATAGATAACTAATGCAGATTTTGGTATTAGGAATCGTGTTAACATAGCAAAACCTAAAATATGGGAGAAGCTTTGGAACTGGGCAGGGAGCAGAATCTGAAACAGCTGTAAGGACTTTAACGAGACTGCAAACTGCTGTGAACAGACTGTTAACGAATTTTGGACTTTGACGAGCCCGCCAGTGAGGATTCAGAGAAAAATGAGAAAGTCATTTTGGAAACTAAAGGAAAGGGGATCCTTGTTTTGTAGTACATGTCTTTCAGTTTCTTGAGTGCATCCTGCTCACTCTTATTTCAGGGCCCATGTGATGTACCTTTTATAAGAATGTCCTCCCTCTATACCCCTCCCTTCCCCTACTCCTCATACCTCCTCTTTCACACAGATAACTCTTACAAAGTATTTGGGAATCATTTCAGCCATCTTTATCCCTTAGAAGTTTCCTCATACTCCCCAAGTCTGGGTCGAAAGTCCATTCTACAACACCCTATACTCCACTCCTCCTACCCTGCCATTTGTAGCATTAATCACAAAGAATATTATGTGAGAGAAAGAACTATCTGGCTTCTTCTCCACTGTATTTCCAGAATTTAGCACAGTGCTTGGCACATAGAAAGAGCTCAATAATTATTTACTGAATAAATGAATTCAATGCTTCAACACAGAAGCAATTTTTCCCAATTTCAAAACTTTAAAAATCTTTTATTAAATCTGCTCATTCAATCTTGACTTCCAATTCCATACCTCTCAAATTATCCTACAAATCAGCATTGACCCCAGTCATTTCAACCAGCACCCCTAATTCTCTACTTTACTCTTATAATGCACTCACCTCTCTCATTCCCAAACCATGAATTAACTTAGCAGTTTAATTTTTACCTTTCAGGTCCTGAACTACTGATCCCAGGAGTTCCATAAAGTCATCAAACCTTTCAAACTGGTTCCATTAAAATTTCACACCTCTAAAACCCAACGGGCTCTCAACAAGACTTCTGTGGTACTTATTTCTGGATTGTTCCTTCTCCTAGCATATGTCTAAATTTTTACCACTTCTTCCAAGCTTTGGATGTACTAGGCCTGCTCACTCTCAACTGATGATCCTGCTCCTTTGTCGCCAATAAAAGAGGGAACAGATACAAGTCCTCTCACTTCGCCCGAGATTTTCTTTGCTTTGTCTTGTCCCTTTTCCTTCCTGTCAAGCTGAGTCCTTTATCTGTGCTCTTGATCCTACTTCTTCTGGCCTGCTCTTACACACTGCCTCAACAACTTTGATCTGGTCACATCTTAAATTAATTTAACTCACACAAAGGCAGCTTTACACAAGGTCCCATTATGCCTTTTCTTTGTATTGCATCAACTAAAGTCACATTCACTCCACTGCTAGTTGATTACTGTACACTAGGATGGCAGGTAATAGCTTTTCCATACTTGATGTGCCAAAAATGACCTCAAATACAAGCCAACAACAGGAATTTGAAAGTTGCCAATTACAATACTTCAGGCGCTTGAATATACCATGGACTGCCAAAAGAACGAACAAATGTATCTTGGAAGAAGTACAGCCAGAATGCTCCTTAGAAGCAAGGATGGTGAGACTACATCTCACATACCTTGGACAGGTTTTCAGGAGGGATCAGTCCCTGGAAAAGGACATCATGCTTCTTGAAGTACAGGATCAGTGAAAAAGATGATGACCTTAAACGAGATGGATTGACACAGTGGCTGCAACAATGGGCTCAAGCATAAAAACGATTGTGAGGATGGCAGGACCTGGCTGTGTTTTGTTCTGTTGTACACAGGGTTGCTACAAGTCGGAACCGACTCGACGGCACCTAACAACAATTACAATACTGGAGGTGGTACAGACTCTTGGGTCACATCTCCTCCCATATACTGTTGTTACTTCCAAGCCTTCAATGTCTGAGTCAGCATCTTTTCTAAGTCACAGAAATCAATAAATATCAGAATGTATAAAACAGAAAGAAGGGTTTGAGAACAGAGAAGGATTCTTAGCTGATTAACTGGCTGGTGAGCTACAGAATTGGGGGCGGGGGGGGCGATTAGAGGGGGTTTGTCAATTCAAACAAGACCACAAACCACTCAAAACAAACATTATCATAAATCACTTTAAATTTCTGAGGTCTAGCTGGGAAACTTTCAGAAAACAGCAGAGACCATAGCAGTGTTTCACAGATCGGCACACCCATTTCCTTCTTCTCGCTACCCCAAACACACACACTTAGCAAAGGTCTTGCACTGGTTATGAGACAAGGATAGAAGAAACAGCAACTGGCTCTGCAGATAAAAGGTAAAAGCCTAAGAAATCCCTTTACACTTACTCCCACCTTAAAGCAACTATTAGTTATGCTATGCTTCGATCTTTTCAGCCATGTTTACTCATATATATTATTGTCAGTATCTTTGAAAACAAAGAAAAACATGTAAGCATTACAAATTTTAAGGGCCTTTCACAAACCAAATGACAGTAGGTTTTTATTAACATATCTTACAATGTTCATTATTCCTAGTTTTGTAATTTCTGCTTAATTATAAAGATTGATTTAGCTTCTACAGTAATGTACTGTATTTAAATGATCATTCATACAAGATATCACACCAGTACATTTTTTCAATAATATACACACGTCACTCTAATTTGGACCTGTTATTTTTAAAAGCGGGCTTATAAATGGGACTTATAAAAGTTATGGGGAAAAAAATTAAAGTTCTAGTTTAGCAGCATGCATGTATGTATTCAAGTACAATTTCCAACCAAGTGCTTTTTTTAAAATTTACTGGTGACTAATTCACCAATATCAAAATAAACACTATCAAATACCCAAATTTTAAAGTTAAGGCTAATATTTTCACTTCACATCCATATGCACAACCATAAAACATTCCATTTTAAATACGTAGTAATCAAAGTCTGAATATATTATACCATGTATATATAGCATCAGTTTCAAACTGCAGAATTAATCAAGTTCATGAATCCTGTAACAGAAATTTACTAGAGATGTAAATTAGCATTTTGCTCTTCAACCACACTTACAAAATGGTCTGGTATTCATAATGACCAATGCAAAAAATATGACAGGCTGAACTTATGATACAGTATTTAAAAAAGTAGCAATGTGTTGAAAAGGACAGCTATTTAGTCAAACAATTATTCTAGTCTTACAGAAAGTTATCTTAGTATTTTGGAAATGCATATAAAAATAGCAAGCTATTTCCATGTATTTTATTGTAGAGCTATAGGTGAAGTTTTGCCTTTTGGACATGTTTGAAAATGTACGGCTCTGCTTTCCCTATTTTAATGCTAGGCCATCATTTAATGTCAATTTGCATATTTGGTAATGTCATGTCGTTCAATAATTTTTTAGAACATGGATCTAACTTTATTTTTATATTTTATCATTAGATGTCTTTTACTTTATTTTTACACACAAAAATGTAATTTTATATAATAAGCCATGGAAGTCCAAAGTTCCAGGAATTGGTTAATAGCACTATATATGAAATAATCATCAAATCATTTGAATCATTTGGAAAAAAAATCTTGGTAGCAATATATAACATGCTTATCTGTAATCTTCTTTCACTACTTATAGAGTGAGTTTTAGCTCAATCATTCCCATTCGTACTGATTTAAACACCCTACAAATATAAATTCCTTTTCACAGCAGTTTCTAAGGAGAATGCAGATGCACAGCTCATTCATAAGGGTCATTGCCACTGAGCCTTTTTTCTCTTTAAGGAAATCAAGCAGAAATAACAGTGATTACACTGCACAAATACAATATAGTTGAACCTCTTGAGCTGACAGAAAAGCTCCAAAATTATGTTTCCTTTATGGGGAAGTCTGCACATTTCCAATCCAATCATTTAAACAAAAATCTGGTTGGTAATATAAAAGATGGTCACGCACAGAATCAAAACCTGCCATGTGTATGCTCTTAAAACATTTGATTTTATGATAAAATCTTACTTGTTACTACTGCTAGTAATTCTTCCAACTGAAATGGCAAATTTTGATTTTTAAGGACCCCTCCAAACACATATATATCCCCCAAAACATACTGTATTATATTAACAGCAGCTATCTACTATTTTACAGCTATTTCAATTATTTACCTGGGGAGAATATTTATGAAATTCCTGAGAATGAATTCAGTTTTCAGCAAAGCCTTAAACTTTTAACAGATTTCTCACAATAAGAAAAAATTTCAAAGTTCTACTATTAGACCAACTTTTACTATACAATATTTCACATAAATCGTGTTTTACATTTTGTCTAATTACATACAGCAAAAATCTCAAATCCACACAAGAATGACAGAGGAAAAAGATGCAATATGTTTAGCAGTTGCAAATTAAACACACAGATATAAAGAAGCAGTAAAAGGTCAAATAAATCACACTCAAAGTATGAATAACTGAGAGGCATTGTTGGGAGAATCATTTCTAAATGATTTTGTGAACGAATTGTGCTTCTTATTAACTGTGGACTAAAAAAAAGGACCACTAAAGAACGACTTAACTTGTTACTTGTTATGTTTTCCAGATACATTTTTTTTAATTTTAATTATTATACCATTAATGTGGTTACCAAGCACCTAATTTTGGAAAAGCTTCAGAATGTATACTTTTTTTCCTCCAGCAAGAGCATTAATCTCCCAAATTAAGTTAAAGCTTATTGCTGATAAAAGTAAATTCTTAATGAAAACGATGATATGATGTGATGTTGAGGTGGTAAGTCACAGCCCATTATAATGTGGACCCCATCTTTTATTGATGTGATCAAAGGTATGAGAAATCCACTGTTGTTCAAGAACTTTGTATCTTTCCTTACAAATATAGAGAGGCTTGCCTCGCCTATAACAAAAAGAAAAAAAAGATATTAAAAATAACACAATACAATGGAGAGTTAACATGCATTACTTTTTTAATAGATTCCTTATGACAAAAACTCACATAGCCACTTATTTTTTTTTCTATTTCCTTAGCATGTTGAAGTGGAAAATATCTCAAAAATTAGAAATAGCTCTAAATTAATGATTGTCAGACTTCTTAATGTAAAATAAAATAATTACAAAGCCAGGAATGACACATTGTTCTTTACTGACCAAATTTCAATAAAACACCCAGATGTATCTATGGACATCTGACCTAAGATCACGGTCTTCCTCTCCATGAGCATCCAAATACACGGAACCCCACAGGCAGAAGCGGTGGCCTCGAATGATTATAATCACTGATGCATTGATCAAAAGGAAAATCCCTGTTCCAGCACCACAGTTCTGAGAATGCTAAAAAAATAAAAAAGATATCAATAAACTTCATAAGCAAATGGGCATTATAACAAAATCAAAAAATGTCTTAATTAAATGCCTTCTAAAGAACAGAGATATTTTTAAAATTTTAATAAGATTTCACCTATTAGTAAGCTTATAATCTCAATCTTAATACTTTATTATTAATATATTAGAGGAATTTGGATAAAAATTATCCAGGAACACAATTAACAGCCAACCTAAGTCAGAGTCTAGCATTTCAAACGGCATATATGACTACTGTTAAACGCATACATTATAAGGTATGACCTAGCATTAAAGGATAGTGAAAGTAAGGAAAGGACCTAGAACTGTATTTAAGAAAGGTTTTACTCATTTAAGTAAAGCCTCTGATTTTTTTTTAACCCTTCTACTAGATTAAAAAGAATAAAAACAAAAACATCCCTACATGTAATACATGTTTAATCCAAAGAGCAGTTAAATGTGACGAGCTGGCTTGATCCTATATATCACATTTTCATGTGAAAAGAGATTTGATTTTCATAAACTTTGTATCATTTACTATTGCTTACCAATACACATTCACAGTAACTTTGTTGCTTGCAGCAAAGTCCTTTTAGGCATACAAAAGTACCACAAACAAGGCAAACGGCAGGATCTTTGGGAACCTTGGTACAAACACTGCAGGTTTTTCTGTGGTAGTACTGAAAAATGGTGTTATAATTCTCAGGCAACTGTAGAAGATGTGGTAATTTCCATCTTGACTCTTGGATAAGCAGGGCCTAAAACATTACCCCCAAAAAATTCTTAGTCATATATATTTAAATCACTAAAACAAAATACTTATTTTTTTAAAGGAGCTTTTTTTTTTAAGAAAGGAAAATCTTTCTCTAAGAATGTGACTTATTTTCTTTATTAACACTTCTCATCTTCCATTTTATAAATGACTAAGGTAGTATTTCAACAATTAACACTCTTCATTTTAATGTAATTTCCAATTACAATATGATTTAATTTTTGAGGGTAAGCACCCTAAAGCATTAAAACTTGTTATTACTTTAAGAGAATAATACTAAATATCATTAAGCATGCATGGAAAACATATCTAGGTGTATTTGTTCTTAAATATGCTCAACGCAAAAAAATTTAACCAGTTACACATTTAAAAACCCAAGTTTGGACCTTTCTCAGATAAACAATAAAAAATTCTTTGGCTTTCTGAGGTTCACCCTTCAGCCAAAGATCAGACAGGCTCATAAAACAAAATGAGATTAAATGGGCACACCAGCCTAGGGGCAAGGATGAGAAGGCAGGAGGCGACAGGAAAGCTGGTAAAGAGGAACCCAAGGTCAAGAAGGGGAGAGTGTAGACATGTCATGGGGTTGGCAACCAGTGTCAGAAAACAATGTGTGTATTGTTTAACGAGAAATTCATTTGCTCTGTAAACCTTCATCTAAGGTACAATTTAAAAAAAAAAATTCATTGGCTTTTCTTTAGAGAAGGTCATAATTTATTATTTCTATTTTAATATTTTATAATCTTGAGTCTCCCTCTGTGATTCTAAGATGAGTTCCTTTATGTGGCTTTTTGCCTTGGTTCTTTGGAAAAACAGCTTGAGATCTTCCCCCTAAGCCCTGAGGAGTTAATCTTTGTCCTAGTTTTCTACCCTAGAGGGTTCATTACTTTTTGTCCAGGTTGACTGACATTTCCTGGGTAAGCTGTAAACAACTTGATGGTTTGATACTTTTTGTCTTGCCCTGGGCTGCAGCCTGCCCTGTAATTGGTCTATTTTACCCACCTTGCAGGGATTGGTCAATATACTTCTGCAAATGAAGTGACTGTGGCCTACAGAGAGGGGATTGGTCAGTTCCTGGCCCTGCTGGGAGGGCCATGCCTTGAAACTGACCAGAAGTTTGCTTATATATACAGCCAACCCCACAGAGGTTTGCAGACAGAAAGAAAGAAGCATAAAAGAAAAAAGGCAAGAAAGGCAAGAAGAGAGAAGCAGCAGAGAGATAGGAGGCAAGGAACATCCTAAGAGAGCTGTAATTCACGTCAAGGGCTGTAACACTGAAGACAGAAAGAGGCCCAGAAGGGACCCTGCAGCACAGCTGGCAGCAACAGGCCCAGAAAGGGCCCCGCGCCAGAGTCAGTAGTGACAGCAGGGAATGTAGCTAAGAGAGGTGAATGAAGCTGCTATATTGGCTATGAACTGGGTGAGTTAGCAGTGGAGAGACTGACAGCAGGGAGGCCAAAAGCAGAGAAGCCTGTCTTGAGGGAGCTGAGAAAAGGCCTGACCTCAGGGGGCTGAGAGAAGTCCTATCCTGAGACAGCCAAAGGTAACCTGTCCTGAGGGGGCCAGAAGAGGCCTTTTCTCAGGGGGCCAAGAGGAGGCCTGCCCTCAGCAGGCTGAGAGGAAGCCTGTCCTGAGGAAGCGGAGAGGAAACTTATCCTGAGGGGGCTGAGAGGAGGTATGTGTGGCAGAGAGAAGGACCTGCTTGCTTGCACGGCTGAGGGGAGCTGAGAAAGTTGTCCTGCACTGAAGAAGGAAGAAGGTGCTCTCCACTTTGGGGGAACCTTCCAGACTTTGCCTGCATGCTTCCTAAACCTGATTCTGATCCTGAGTTATGGCCTGTTGATTGTGATCCCAAGTTGTACCCTGTTACTTCCTTAATAAACCACTTTAAGTATGGTCTGTAAGAGTTCTGTGTGGTCACTGCAATGGATTCTAGAACCCACAAGAGAAGTAGAGAGTGCCATGGGAAGGATGGCTGGTGTCAGAATACGTAAAAACGTTGGAGAGTGGAGGTATGTCTGACCTCCACCTCTCTCTCTCCTGAAGTTAGGTAAAGTTTACTACCATTTCACAACCTCCTAGAAGATGTAAAATGTGTTACAGTTGTTAATATAGTTTGTATCCATAAGTACTGGGGCTACAGCTCTTTTCAAAAATTTCCTGCTCTAAGTGTGAGAATGCTGGTGGCGTAGTGGTTAAGAGCTACAAAAGGTCGGCAGTTTGAATCCACCAGGTGCTCCTTGGAAACCCTATGGGGCAGTTCTACTCCATCCTACAGGGTTGCTATGAGTCAGAATTGACTCAAATGGGTTTGGTTTTTGGTTTTTAAGTGTGAGAAAAAAATGCCAAATTAGTTAAATTTCTCTGCATGGTATACTTTATTCACTACTTACAGCTGTATAAAAATACTGCTAATAGCACTGTTTTTTTAGATGCTAATCCATTCATACAAAATAGACAAAATTTAGCGTGAGTCTATTATCTTAAGAAACTGCATAAATGATAGGCAATTCATACAGAGATCATCTCACATTACCTACAGCCATAATCCATCTAAATCAATGGAGTAACTAAGAAGTTAGCTTGATGCTTATTAATGAGTTCATGGATAAAGTGGCATGGTAGCAAAAGGATAAGACAACATTTGTTGTTAGGTGCCACTGAGTTGATTCCAACTCATACTGTCCCCGTGTGACAGAGCAGAACTGCCCTACAGGGTTTTCTAGGTGTAATCTTTATGGAAGCAGATTGCCAGGTCTTTCTTCTGCAGTGCCACTGGGTGGGTTTGAACCACCAACCATTCAGTTAGCAGCTGAGTGCTTAACCACTGTAGCATCAGGACTCCTGAAGACAATAAAACCAAAACAACCCCAAATCGATTGTCATCAAGTCGATTCTGACTCATTGTGACCCTACAGGACAGAGCAGGACTGCCCCATAGGGTTTCCAAGGTTGTAAATCTTTACGGAAGCATACTGCCACATCTTTCTCCCACGGAGGGGCTGGGGGGATCGAACTGCCAACCTTTCAGTTGCCAGTTGAGTGCTTTAACTACTGTGCTAGGGTTTATCTCAAAGACAACAGAGGTGCTCATAATACGCTATTTGTCAGCACTCAGTGCCTCACCCTCAGCCTCCCAAACAGCAAATTCTATTAAGAGGCTGATTACACTGGAACTCCTCCATCAGTGGATGGGATAGCAATTTGTTCTCATCGGACTTAACACATACTCTAGATTGGTAGCCGGGTAGCCCACACCACACTGTTTCTAATCAAAGAACTTCCTTCACAAACAAAGAAGTAAGGCAATAGGTAGATGTCTATGGAATTCACTGGTCTTAACATACACCAAATCATCTAAAACACTTAATAGTTTTTTAAATGATAAACTACTGGACTGGTGAATTTTTAGATGGTGCCAGCTAGAAGAAAACACCTACAGAATGAGGCATGTGCTGCTACAGAATGAGATATGTGCTCTAAACAGTGATCTGTCTCTCACAACCTATAGGGGTGGAAAGTGGTTGTAGCCCCTCTCATCATTATACCTAAAAATTCAGCCTCAAATTTCTGCTTCCCTGCTATTCTGGACCCTGCTGTAGTTTTAGTACCCAAGGAAGCTGTGCCTCTACCCAGGATACTAATTGTTCCACTGAATTGGAAACTAAATGCCATCTGACTATTCTAGGTTCTTCACACCAGTAGGAAAACAAACGGAAAATGCTTACCACATTGGCTGGAGTGACTGGCCCTATGGAGAGGAACAGAAACACTGCTACACAATGGGGATTGGTAGCAGCATGCTTGAAACGTAGAGTTCCCCGACCCCATGTCCCAAGCTTAGACGGTAAAAATTTAATACAAAATTATTACAGCTTTATATAAACAAGATAGGACCAATCATCAGAAGCTCAGACTTCTCAGAATAAAGTCTGGGTCACATCCTTGGTCAAACAAATCCAATCAGTCTTTGAGGTGCTGATCAAAGAAGGAGAATGTGAAATGGGTGGTGAAAGAAGAAAGTCGTATAAAGTCCATTCTTGTTATTCATGGCAGTTATATTTTATAAAGTTACTATGAACACTGAATTAGTGAATAAGGAGCCATTTCCTAGGTGAAATACAGGGATAGGTGCCTGTGAGCTTCTGGTTGCTTTTTTGTCAACCAATCAGTACATAACCTTGTTTTATGTGTGTTTCTGTTTAAAGACATCTTATTTAATATATATTATAAATAATTAATTATATGCAGTATTTCATTATAATAAGACATTAACCAAGAAGGGTTTAGCATTTTCCTGACCCTGGCTAACTCGACCATAAATATCTTTAGCTTTCAGCCTCACAACCATGCTGTCCACTATGCTTTTTTTTTTTTAATCAGTTGTTATCTCATGAATGCACAAATTCAGCCACTTTTCTGTCTTTTCAACAGCTTCATCATGCACTACAGATGTTACTTTAGTACCCTCTAGAGTAGTCTTACATACAGATTGGCAAATTTCTTTTTCCTTTTTATGGATGCCCACATTGTTGATTCACTAACACTGAACTCATGGCCAACAACACTATAACTTATGTTTGAACGAAGCTTATCTAACACACATATATTCTCTGTAAGACACATCACAGCCTTCTTGAGCTTAGGAACACTAAGCAGCACTTCAGCAGTATACTTGGAGGTAATTTTGGTCAGCAAAAATCACTAATAAAAAAGTACAAAAAAATGTGGCACTAAATACACCACAAAAAGAACACTTGTTTAGTGTTGAAACAAGGAATGTTTCAACCTCAGGTGAGAATGTGCAACAAGTGACTCAAAATTTTCACTGCTCTTCACATGTCGTTGAATGACTACAAAAGCACCATGAGTACTGATTTGGGGGTAACAAATAAATTTTAGCAAGTATGCAAATAATGAGAATCAACTGTATATATATTTGGGAGTTATTGGGTGGTGCAAACCGTTAATGCATTTGGTGGCAAACCAAAAGGTTGAAGGTTCTAGTCCATGCAGAGGCACCTTGGACGAAAGTCCTGGTGATCTATTTGCAAAAACCCAGTAATTGAAAATCCTATGGGGCACAGTTCTACTCTGACACACATCGAGTTGCTATGAGTCTGAACTGACTCAAGGGCAACTGGTAAAATATATATTTAATTGTATATTAACTGTAGCTTTATGACTAATTTTAAATTTTCTTTTGGCTGTGTCATATGTTTTTGCAACATTTTTCATTCTCTTTATTTTTCTCTTACTATTGAATTTACAGTGAGTTGGTGCTAATTAAATTTTTTCAGACCACCAGAATCTGAGTACAACAAATCTAGAGGAGAAATGGACACCTCCCAGAGCTTTGGATCAGGGAAGCTCAATGACATAACTTTTGGATGTGACTTTAGGTTGTATATTTGAGAGAGTGGTAGGTGCACCTATGGCTGTAAATGGAAAGGTTACACTATTTTGAACAGGAGAAGTGGAACTCGGTGGATGAGATGAAGGATGTGTATGTGTTTGGGCAGGTAAGAGGCGAATGCAGTGGGCCACAATGGTGGTGTTGTTTTTAATCTACCCACGTATCCTTTACTGCCTTCTTATATTAATAGCATTAAAAGATTTTTCAGAAAATAAACCCTCTTCCTGTTCCATACCGTTGTGATGGGGCTGCCCTATCACAAAGATCCTGCCCCACCACAGGAGTGTGCATATGATGCAAACTAGGCCAGTCAATCAGACGCCTTCTCTTAGGAATCTGAATCTTGAGCAGACACATGGAGGGAAAGAAAGCGGCTGAGTCTGTGCCATCCAGTGGCAGCACTTCAGAGAAAACAAACCAGAGGTCTTTGTGGTCTCTCTTTTTCCCAAGTTCAGCTCTTCTTCAATTCTGCGACCTACCTAGTATTCTCCCAATGAGTCCTGTTTATTTCTGTTGTGGTTTTCTTTTGTTTTGCTCTCCTTAACTTAAATCAAAATTGGATTTTGTTGTTTGCAAAAGAGAACCTTAACTAATACAAAAATTCAGAAGCAGTAATTCATGGGCTATATTTCAAGGGCACTGCTTTGGACTGTTCAGCTCTAATCACTGTTTATCCTGGTTAAGTTTCTCTATTCAAGTTTAAAATTTCTGGAAAAGAGAATCTGGGTGACCTAGGGTCAGGCTCAGGGTTAGGGATGAAATAGCGTGGAAGAGGGATGGGAGTGGGGCTAGGGATGCACCTAAATAACTGGTAAAAATTCTGTGTAAGCAAAAATAAATACATACCTACCACGCTGTTTCTAAAACAAATAATTACCGCTCATTTTTATGAAGAGACGAAAACATTTTTAAACAATAAATTCTTATTTTCCATCAACATCTATACCAATAATCATTTACCTAAAATATAGGCTTGTTATTATACTATCAAATAAAGTAATTTTTATCTATCGCCTAGTTCATGGCTCACATGAAAACAAAACATTTTGAATGTGCTCATGACTTTTTCTCCCTGCCCTGGTTCTACAATTACATTCAGCTCTTACTCCAAGACATTCCTCAGGGGTTTTCAAACATCAAACTATAACATCATATTGTAAAGTAGTCTCCCAGCTAGAATCTGTGAATAAAGATATTACAGGAAAAAATTATATACATAACATATGAGATTCAATTACTGAATTTTCTTTTCTGTAAGTAAAAGGTATATATTTTCTTTAAGAATTTCAGCAAAAAAAGGGAAATGAATCAAAGCAGAAACATTTAGTATTTAGGCTTACCTTGCCCTTATTATTTACTCCAATGTTATAAAAATTAAGTCGTCTGACATCTCTATCTGAAATACTAATGTTTTCACCATCCCTTTGATGTTCAAAATTAAAATTCTCATTTTCCCTGAAACTTAGCTCTCCTTCCATAAGTTCTATTTCTGACAATGACAACATTCCACCACTTAATTGTTCCACAAATATTTATTAGGTAACTAGTCCGTACCGGGGAGCCATGGTGGCATAACAGTTAAGCACTTGGCTGCTAACTAAAAGGTTGGTGGTAATAGCAAAAAGATGGAAACAATCTAGATGCCCATCAACAGATAAATGGATAAACAAACTGTGGTACATATACACAATGGAGTATTTACACAATGATAAAGAACAACGATGAATCTGCAAAGCATCTCATAACATGGATGAATCTGGAGGGCATTATGCTGAGTGAAATAAGTCAATCACAAAAGGACAAATATTGTATCAGAACACTACCGTAAAAACTCATGAAACGGTTTACACGCAAAAAGAGACAATCTTTGATGGTTACAAGGGAAGGGGGGGAACACTAACTAGACAATAGATAAGTCGTAACTTTGGTGAAGGGTAAGACAGTATACAATACTGGGGAAGCCACCACAACTTGTACAAGGCAAGGTCATGGAAGGTCCATAGACACATCCAAATTCCCTGAGGGACTGAATTGCTGGGCTGAGGGCTGTGGGGACCATGGTCTCAGGGAACATCTAGCTCAACTGATGTAACATAGTTTACAAAGAAAATGTTCTATGTTCTACCTTGGTGAGTAGCGTCTGGGGTCTTACAAGCCCATAAGCAGCCATCTAAGATATTCCACTGGTCTTACCCCTTCCGGAGCAAGGGAGAATGAAGAAAACAAGATACAAGGGCAAGATTAGTCCAAAGGACTAATGGACCACAACTACCATGGCCTCCACCAGACTGAGTCCAGTACAACTAGATGGTGCCCGGCTACCCCACTGACTGCTCTGACAGGGATCACAACAGAGGATCCTGGACAGAGCTGGAGAAAAGCGTAGAACAAAATTCTAACTCACAAAAAATGACCAGACTTACTGGCCTGACAGAGACTGGAGAAACCCCAAGAGTATGGCCCCCGGACACCCTTTAGGCTCAGTAATGAAGTCACTCCCGAGGTTCACCCTTCAGCCAAAGATTAGACAGGCCCTTAAAACAAAACGAGACTAATGGGGCACAACAGCCCAGGGCAAGGACTAGAAGGCAGGAGGGGACAGGAAAGCTGGTAATAGGGAACCCAACATCGAGAAGGGAAAGTGTTGACATGCTGTGGGGTTGTTAACCAATGTCATAAAACAATATGCATACTAACTTTAATGAGAAACTATTAGTTTTATAAACCTTCATCTAAAGTACAATAAAAATAAATAAATAAACAAAAGGTTGGTGGTCTGGCCCCATCCAGCGGCTCTGCAGGAGAAAGACCTGGTGATCTGCTTCTGTAAGGATTACAGCCAAGAAAAACCCATGGCACAGTTCTACTCTGTCACATGAGGTCGCTGTGAGTCGGAATTGACTCGACTGCATCCAACAACAACAGTCTGTATCAGGCACTTTCTAGGAAGTAGACATTTAAAGATAAATAAGAAACAATTTCTGTTGTGGAGCCCCCATTCAGACACATTAAACAAATATGATAAATATGGCAAATGTTAGAGTGGCAAAAGTACTGTCATACAGTACAACAGAGGGAGGGGATTAGGACTGTAAAGAAAGATGGATTATCAGACAAAGTTTCCTGGGAGAGGTGGCATTTATCTTAGTGAAGCCTTGAAGGGTAATTAATTTAAAAGGAGGAAGGTAGGGAGTCTGCTTTAGATAAAAAAAGCAATAAGCAGTGGCACAGGTGTTTGAAAATAAATTGCACACTTAAGTAACATTCTTCTGTGGCTTTAGCAACGAGGTGGCAGAAGAGTGGTACAGAATGAGGATGCAAAGGCAAGCAAGATGGTGAAGGTCCTTGACAGCTATATGCAAGGAGTCCATATCCTCCTCCATGGGCAATAGAACATCATTAATGGTGTTTAAGTGGGAGCATGTTCCTATCAAAACTATACTAGTCATTGTTCTTCCAATGATTGGAGCTCAAGATTTTAAGTAATCATATCTCATCACCCAGACCCATATACTTTCCTCAAATGTCTCTTGCATTGGTTACTTTCTCTCCAATTTCTACTATGAGAACAGTAGTCCACATCTTCTTTACCATCTAAACAATCTCTGACTTCCCTCTCTCCTCACTTTAATTTATTTCTACCAAAATAGCAGCAGAGTCACCTCCCTAAAACTCTACTTTCATCATATTACTCCATTTCTCAAAAATTGTAGTTCTAGCTATAGGAGAAAGTGTGAGCACCAAACCATGGCATTTATAGCCATCACAGCTGCCTCTACTCTATGTTCCCAACTCACTCATCTCCAACACAAACCCGTTTATCAGCTGAGCTGGCAGCAGAGGCCCAGCACATTTTAAAGTTAAAGACATAACCTTTCAAATCCTCTAGTCCAAACCTGTGATTTTTACATGAGATGGTTCTCTTTCCATCTCATGTTACAAGTTACTTGTCTACCTTAAAATTTCCTTGTATTCTCCAAGACCAGTGCCATGATTATTTCAGGTATTCAGTAAAAACCTGTTGACCTGAAACAAACTAAAAGTAACAAACTAATACCTTACCTTTGTTAACTGAAGTATTTTTGCTTTTATGGTCATAAATGAAATTTATATAAGCAAACCATCTTTCAATTTAATCAGCTTAATAAATGCTTTCAAGAACAGATAATCCCAAAATTAGAAATTCTTCATCATTCTCTTTACTATTAGCATATCACAACTATGGCAAGTGATTACTATTCTTTGTACATACCTTTCCTTGTTCTGCATGTCTTTCAGTAAATGAATTTATCTCAAAACACCACTGAGATATAATATCAAATGCTGGAACTGGCCAATTCAGACAGGAGGCACTGATGAATGGATGTGCTGTTTGGTAAAATGCTGGCAGAAGTCCCAGGCAGCTGGCAAGAACTGAAAATTCTTCTTCTTCCTTTTGGACATAAGTAGAAAATTCTAAAGACATTTTACCAAGAACATTTCCCATTATAGATATTTTAAGAGTCATCCTCATCAATTACTTTAGGACAAAATAAGAAAACTTTCTTAACTAAGTAACCGAAGAAAAAGGAGGGAAGTAGGAGGAACAAAGAAGAGAGGAAAAATTTCCTAGCTGTTATATCCAAATATCCTCAGAATATTTCTCTTTGAAATTTAACCTCTGAGTGCCATATCATCTGTTCCTTTTATACATTTAATTTTTATATACAGTTGTCATATATCTGATAAATATGATCCACAAAACCTAGCTACTCTATGAAAGCAAATACTAATTTGGAGCAAAGAGAAAGCTACTTTTGGTTAAAAAAACATGGGTTGTCAGTGTGGATGAAGAAGAATAGTAAAAACATGGACTTGATAACAGTCAATGCTAAATAATCTGCCTGGACCCTGAGTGAGTGTGAAGCAAAGTTAGTTTTAAAAAAGGGGAGAGTTTAAAAAAACTTGAGAGATCTAAGAGTCAAGCTATCTGAAGTTCGACCCAGTAATAAAAGAGCCAGAGAAATCAGTATCTAAGTTTCATATCCTGAAAGGTGATTTTTAAAGGAGTTTGGTGGTCTTATAAACACCAAAATATCTTTCCTAACTCCTCCTTATTTAACCAAAAGACGATTTAGGAGTCTAGTGTATCCACTTCCCCTTTTCCACTGGATCAGTTCCTATCATCCTTCAAATCATAGCTCCCCAGGGAAGCCTTCCTTGGCTCCTACTAATGAGATCTCAGACCACCGAGCTCCACTCAGATAAAATGAACTTTTCCACACCTTGTAAACACTTCTATTGTTGCATTTATATATTAATTTCTTTAAAAACACAAAGAACTATAGCATACAGCCTCTAAATGTGAAGAAAGCACAGAGCAGCTGATGAAGCAAGAGTTGATTTTGTTTAGTTAATCTTCTCTGTGCTAGAAGATGCTCATATGCTAGAAGGAAACACATTTTTTTAAAGTTAAAATTTAAAAATAAAGTATGAAAGAACATATCTAATTGATGAACGTGCTTAATTTGTTCAACATCTTATAACTCCAAACAGAATTTTTTTGAACAAATGTGCAGCATTTATCTTGAAGCACTTGATAAAAGCCAAAAAATCCAAACTATTTAATGTAATGGTGAATTACTTAAGAGATGAAGAATAACAAACTGCTTAATTTTTAATTCTCTGGAAACAAATGGCAGATAACGTCAAGATCATATCCTACAAGCACAGTTTGGTTTACTTACCTTCTGTTTCCTACCCTGTCATCTTCCTGCCTACTCACAATGATCCACAGATTTATGAAATAGATTAAATCAGTAATAATTCATTCATCGAAGTTGGTTACAAATTCAATATTTTGCTGTTATAAAATTATACAAATGCCATCACATTTTCAAACAACTGGCTTTCTGACGAAAATAACTAAAAAGGTATTAAAAGCAGATTATGATTCGTGATAAAAATATCAAAGATTGAATACTATGATCCTGTTCAAATATTGGGAATATTATCACTGATCTAATCCCAAACTGCCCAAATATCCAATATTAGCAATAGTATAATAAAAATGGGTGGATGTTAACAAACTCAAAAATAATAGCAGTAAATATTCTAAATATTTATTCCTTTGAGCTAGGCTAACATATACTTGTATGACAGTTTGATATAGACACAGGGATTATACTATGTATCCATATATTTCAAAAAATTAGCTTATTATCTCTACCCTAAATTATACCTGGCAGCTAGGTAAATCTTCTCCAAAAAGGTGGTGCTGAAGAAGACTGGTGATTCTGAGAAAAGGTAAGCAGAAGTCCTGTAAGTATCGCTCCATGGATTCAGGAGACCAAGCAATAGGGCTAACCTAAGGTAAAAAAAGAAAAGTTGAACAATTCATTCTATAATAGATGTAGCTTAAAAATTATAATGTCAACAAAATCTAATTTTTTTTTTTACTAAATAACCATTACATCTGATCTTGGAGAAAGCATACCATTGCACACTCCTGAGATCCTTCTTCATGGTATAACTTTCCTTTAGATAGTTCACTTATTACGAAGCTCAACAACACTTCATAAGACTTTTCGGCATCACATGGATTCTGGAAAAAATTAAAATATTAGTTACATCAGTCATTCAAAATTAAAAACGTTTCACATTGAAAGACTACTTTATAAAGTATAACTGTGATTACACTAATTTTCTACCATGTGAACTTCAATTTTTCAAATATGCATAAAAGAGTACATCCCTGGATTCACAATGAAACTGGGTAGGTAGTTAAAGCTATTTTAACATTTCTTTAAAAAAAGTATATAAATTATTTAATGTGTGTCATGGATTGAATTGTGTCCCCCAAGAATATCTTTCAACCTGGCTCGGTCAAGATTCCCAGTATTGTATGATTCTCTGCCATTCTGTCATCTGATGTCATTTTCCTGTGTGTTGTAAATCCTATCACTATGATGTTAATGAGATGGATTAGTGGCAGTTATGTTGATGAGATCTACAAGATTAGACCATGTCTTAAGACAATCTCTTCTGAGATATAAAAGACAGAAGCAAGAAGAGAGACAAGGGGACCTCATACCACCAAGAAAGCAGGACTAGGAGCAGAGCGCATCCTTTGGACCCGGGGTCCCTGCGCCTGAGGAGCCCCTCGACCAGGGGAAGACTGATGACAAGGACCTTTCTCCAGAGTCAACAGAAAGAGAAAGCCTTCCCCTGGATATGACGCCCTAAATTTGGACTTGTAGCCTACTAGACTGTGAGAGAATAAACTTCTCTTTGCTGAAGCCATTCACTTGAGGTATTGCTGTTATAGCAGCAGTAGATAACCAAGACAATGTGTATGTAAATAAGCATATGTAAATCACACCTTTTGACCCAGTAATTCCCACTCCTGGGAATTCTTCCTAAGGAAATAATCCAAAAGGCAGGAAAAAAAAAAAAGCTATGTGCACAAGAGATTCATCACGGTGCCAATATAGAGAAAAAATAGAAACGACCAAAGAATGTCAGGTAGTAACCTAAATTATGGTACATCAACCAGAGCATTTTATATGCAATGAGTATATTTGAGATGTATGAAAAATGTTTACAATATAATGTGAAAAGAGCCAAATAAAAATAAAGGCATATATATAGTGTTTATAGTAGTATAAATTATATATGCATGGAATAGAAGAAAATATGGATTGCAAGTTTTTTTCTTTACAATTTCCCTCAAATTATTTTAGTAGAATTTATTAAAATAAGTTAATGTAAAAATAAAGTAGGATATTATATAATAAGATAATTACATTAAGTAACAGTCTAAAACTTAATTAAATTTAATGACTATATACTATGCCAATATTTATAGGAAAGACAAAATAAGAACTATTTATAAATCCAAATGTATTTCAATAAAGTATTTACATATAAAGAAATGCATCTTTTTATATAGCCACAGAGAAATTAGAGGCAGCTGCAAGTTACAGTAAAGTGTAAACTGGGATAAAGTCATAACTTTGCTATAATGTTGTTTATTCTACTCATTAACTATACTTTTGAATAGTAAAATATAAGAATTCAGTAACGTAAGCATCATGGAATTTAACTTTATCCTCAACTCTGAACTATGCTTTGTATTTTCAACATCTGTTTTTACTTTAACAAAAAATCTGAGCGATAAATACCTGCTGGCTAATTGATGAGTTTAGTTCTGTAATGTCAAGAGTTTATGACTTTAGAACTTGCCTGGATATGCCTCTTTTAAAACTGGCTAATTGATGAGTTTAGTTCTGTAATGTTAAGAGTTTATGACTTTAGAACTTGCCTGGATATGCCTCTTTTAAAAATCAGTTCTTTGCATTATCTTTAAATTACTTCTCTGCTCTCTGCCATATTCATTCAGCCACGTAGAGTTATCATGACCTGATTCTAAACTATAAAAACAGCCCAACTTTACAACTGTTCTCCTTATATCATGTGAGCTCCCCTCACTCTTGGTCCAATTAACCAAAAAGATGATCATCCGGCAAATACGATGATCTATAGGTTAGTAAAAATCAACATCCCACTGAATAGCAAAACAGGAGCATACTATATTTTAAACACTGATTTAATCAAAATTGTTCTTAAATAGGCAGAGGTCCATTGAGCTCAAAATATAGAAAATATGAAGGAAAATAACAGCATAGATTTGCTACTTATTAATCAGGTGGTAAAGGTATGTGGGTTAAATAAACAAAAGGGTCAAGAGTTGAGAGACACAAGAGAGTTTGCATCAGGTAGAATGTTTTGTCATGAATTACAGTGCTTCTTAAATTTTGGGGGGTGACAGATTCTTTAGGTATATGCTAGATACTACAGTCCCACTCCCCAGCAAACAAACAAAACAAACCTATCCAGAGACCCTAGATCAAGAAATCCTGGTATAAAGACTCTTATAGCAGAAATTTCACTGACGAAAACAGCACAATTTATACTAAATAAAATGATGATTTTCCAGAAGAACTAAACTTCATTACCAAATTAACTCCAATATTCCTTCAAAAAATATATAGTACCTCTATTTTTATTGCTGCAGGCCAAATTATATCCGGCAAAAATCTGTTTTCATTAGAATTATCAGACCTGGGGATAAGGAATTTATAGAGATGGAACGAATGAGTGAAAGTCAATTAAAAAAGGAAAGAAGGCTGGAAGGGAGTAAGAGAGGAGAAAAAAGTAAAGGAAAAGACAAATTAAAAATTAAATAAATGACTAACGGAGAAACCTAGTTACACAATCACAGTGACTTTTTCATCATTCATAAATATAATTGTTGCTATTATTTACAATCCGCAATGAATCTAAATGTTTAAAAATTTAGATTCTAATTGTAGAAAATGGTAGTAAAGACAAACTACAGAGTACTGTATTTTTTTTTCTTTTCATTCACAAATTTATATGGCTATAAGCTAATCATTTTAAATTTAGGTTCTGACAAGAATCTACCTCATATTAAGTGTTTTATTAAATATTTTTTAAAATAACTAACATTTATCAAATTGAGAAGGAACAGAACAGTTACCCAAATTACTTCATGTTCCTTCTATCATAGATTTACAACTGTCTAATTTTCAGTCATGTAAGGTCTCATTTTAGCAAATAGTTAAATGAAGAGATTTAATCCCAATTTATATCAGCAAATGTTCTAAATATGTAATTTTTCAAGATTAGACAACTTACTAAGGAAACACATTTAAATAATGACACAGCACAGAAACCTAATACATTTGATTTGAATTATAATAGTCTAAATATCAGATTAGAGTACTATGGGAAAAAGAAAGGTAATTGCAGAAGGCAAAATTACTCAAGAATCAACTAGGAAAAAGGAAGGAAAATCACTCAAGAAAAAGACAGAAATCCACAAGAATTTAAGATAACAGAATTTTACAGGGGCCCTTATAAATCATGAGGTTCAAATCTCTCATTTACCTTTGAGAAAGCTGAGGCCCAGAGATTTTTTATGTCTTGACCAAAATAGTTACGTCTCTAGTGGCAGGTACTTGGCCTAGGACCTGGGTTCAATGGCCAACTAATCAATATTCCTGATTAAGACATAATGAACTTTGTGATGATACTATACTAAATTTTTGTACACATTTTTGTGATTTGGCAGTGGACTGATGATAAGGTTATACTGAATATATTTCATGTATTTATAATTGGTTCTTGCTACTTTTATACACAGATGTGATTTTAACAAAAACTTTTCAACGAGGTCTAAAAACTCTTTAAGACTCTATGAGCCAATCAAAAGGCTCAATTACACTACACCTATTACCTTTTCCTACCAAATCAAACAAACCAAACCTGTTGCCACTGAGTCAATTCCGACTCACACTGACCCTACAGGGCACAGAAGAACTGTCCCCTAGGTTTCTAAGAAGCGGCTGGTGGATTCAAACTGCTGACCTTTTTTGGTTAGCAGCCGAGCTCTTAACTACTGCGCCACCTCTCTAAAATAAACATTGAAGTAATTTTCTTATTTTTACCTATCTCTAAACCCAAACTGCTCAGCCCAGTTCTTTGGTTCTATAGTATCCAATCTGTTCTTAAGGCATCGAAAATACTTACATTTACCTGAACTTTGCACAAATTTTTCTAAATTGTTTACATACTTTTAATTTAAAGAGAACTCTTGTGAATTTGCTAAGAACGTATATATCTAACATGGGGAAAAAGTATTTAAAGAGGCATAATTAAGAAAAGACAAGGATTTATAAATTTAGAAGTGGAGAGTCAAAACACATGTTTGGATTGTGATTGGGGATAGGGACAAGAAGAAGAAAAGATAACAGCTAAGTAAAACAGGTAAGTCTGCAGACATTTTATTACCTGCTCACTGTGTAGGCAAAATTTGTATAACTTCTCTACGTTTAAGGCTTGCAGCAAAGAACTGCCCAAATATAACGGATAAAGTGCAAGGTTTTGAGATAGCTGCAGAAAGCCTCACTGTGCAAGAAAAATATTTTAACTTTAGCCTAAAAGTGCTCCATTTCCAACTAAAATACCATCAATAACTCATTTTGTCTTTTAAACACTTAATCTCATTTACTCCTATCCCCAACTTACTTGAGTTCCCTAAACTATTAAATGACAAATTCAGACAAGACAGTAACCTTTTTGAGAGCTCCCACATGTTTCCAGGCTGACCTGTCTTCCTCACTACATTTAACTGAAAGTGCCGCGAGTGCCTGTGTATAGAGTAGTGTAAAAAGCACCTTCACAATGCAGGTAAAGTGATCTGCAAGAGAAAGAGAGCATCATTATTTCTTTAGAATCTAGACATTTTGTATTCAAGATAATGCCATAATACACGTCTTTCTCTATTCATGTAATTGGTTTTTGTTCAACACTGAAGTAGTTACTTAATAAAATGAAATTATAAGGTACTATTATATTTGCTACCCAACAGATCTGGAACTATAGAAGTAAAGTTCCTCTATTCATCCACAGTATATATGTAAATAAGAAGCATTTGGCATAGTGGAAAGTATGCTCTGTCTTAGAGGATCAGAGTGTTAATGCCACTGAATCCTGAAATAGCTGTGTAACCTTACTGGGCATCAGGTCCTCAATAAGTCTGAACATTTAAAATCAACACTCCATTTACCAACAAAGAATACGAGATAGATCGTATAAATTAAAAACAAACAAAAAACAAATAATCTGATATTTTAAGCGCTTGGAGTTTCAGAATTCAATGAAAACTATAACAACGCAAAAACAGTAGGAACAATATGTAAAATGCCTGTTAACTTCTTGTACACATTAGGGACTTAATAAATGGTGGCTTAATAATCATAATTAACACTTATATATGCCTAAAAACTTAGATAATTTCCTCAAATGTCTCATTCAATCCCTTAACAGTCTCAATTGGGCAACTGAGACTCAAAAGGATGTGCCTGAGATATCAAAGCTAATAAGCACCCAGGTCTGAACTTGAATCCATGAAAATCATTTTACTTCAGATCCAGTATTCCTTCGATTATGTTATGCTGCTTTCCCAGTTAGTGGGTGTTGTTTTGTTGTTGTTAGGTGCCGGCAAGTCAGTTCCCACTCATAATGACCCTACGTACAACAGAATGAAACACTGCCCTGTCCTGTGCCATCCTCACAATCGTTGCTATGCTTGAACCCATCCTTGAAGCCACTGTGTCAATCCATCTTGTCTTTCTTTCTTTCACTGACCCTCTACTTTACCAAGTAAGTGGATACTATCATTTAATCAGCTGCTGAAGTAAAAAACTTGTAGGCATCCTTAATAATTCCCTATTTCTTTCACCCCATATTTAAACAATCACCAAGTCCTATCAATTCTACTTTTAAATATCTCTCAAGTCAATTCTGCCACTCTGGACCAGATTTCTATCCTTTGTTGCCAAGCTCTATAATCCCAGCCTGAGTGGTTGTGGTGGGGGTTCCCAAGAACACTCCCAGATTTGATGATTCTCTAGGACTCACAAGACTCAGCATGTAGTCATATAGTAAAAGGATACAAAGCAAAATCAGCAAAGGGAAAAGACACATGGGGTGAAGTCCAGAAGAAACTCCTAAAGTCCTCTCCCAGTGAAGTCACACAGGATTCACTTAATTCCCCACCAATGAGTTGTGACAATACTTGTGAAATCTCTACCAGGGAAACTCATTAGAGACTCAGTGCCCAGGGTTTTTACTAGAGACTGGTCACGTAAGCACCTTCTGACCAGCATGTACCAAAATTCCAGACTCACAAAAGGAAAGCAGGTGTTCAGCATGAACCACACTGTACAAATTAGGCACAGTGAGCTGCTCTCATCAGTTCTGGAAAATGGAGACAATAACACCACTTACCTTAAAAGGATTAAATGAAATAAAATTTACACACTTTAATGCTTCAAGCCTGATTGAAAATGGCAGCTACTCACTAAATATCTTTTGTTAATTTATAATATTATTTATGTTGTTTGTCTGATATCTATAGGTATTTGAGTTTACAGTACCTACACTGGGCAATGAGAAACCCCCAAGCATTTTATGTAGGAAAGTGATAATGTTAGATATGCATTTTAGAATATTCACTGCTGCTTCCTAGAAAAAAGGGATTGAAACTGGGCAAGACTGGAGGCAAGAACACCTGTTAGCAGGTAGCAAAAGTACTACATAAAAGAAATTAGGATGGCATAAACTAAGGAGGAGCAATGAGGATGGAGAGAAATATTCAGATGATAGAAATTACAGGATTTGGTAGACATTTGGAGGCAGAAGGGGACAGAAGTCTCCTTGTACAAAGGGTAGATAGTAGTAGCACTGACTGAAATAGAAAACTGAAGAAGAGAGTAGGTTTGGATGGGAAGAAGATGAACTCGGTTTCATATATGTTAAGATTGAGGCCTGTGTAGAAATTTGGTTCTGGAGCTTAGAAGGCAGTTGTAGCCTGGAGCGAAAGATTTGAGAATCATCAGAGAATAGGTGCAGTTGGAGCAATGATAAAGGAATGAGATAAAATTAAAAAGGAAGCATGACCCTAATACTCTATGTTTTCTCCTTTTTAAAACTGGTGATCGAGAGCTTGACATAACTAACACCATCATGAACCTATAAGTTTTTTCTGCCTGTCTTCTCCTTTCCACATACCTTTATTAATGAATTTGTTTTGCTCTGTCTGGCCACCTGTGACTTACAACCCTGCACATGGAGATCAGAGTCCAGATGTCCAGCCTGTAAATCTTTAGCCTGATAAGCAGTCCCTTGTAGTTATCCTGTAATGTGTAACTTATCCAGCCATCTGTGGGCGACATGCCAAAAGACACTTCTAACTCTTGTAAAAATCATATATAAGCTCTAATGTAAAAATGCCTTTTCGGACTCCCTAGAGACATAAACTTTGTCACTCTTTCTAACTTGGAGTACATTTTATTGGCTTGACTGCTCTGGGGCACGGACCCTAACCGGGCAACAGAAGGAGACAGGGACAATTCAAAGAGTAGTATAGGAAGAGGTGGGTGAAGATAAGTAGAAAAAGAGACAAGAGTATAAAGGGGAAAGGATGTTGTCATCAAAGTGAAGAAAAGAGAGTATTCCATCACATAACTAAATGTTTTAATAGAATGATGAAAATTATAGAATTTGCCTACTAAACACAAACAGAAAGATCTTAACCAGCAGGTCATTTACATCACCACTCACATATAGCTTCTTTTCATTGTGAACTTTGTTTTTATTATATTTTATTAAAAAGAGATAATGCATTAAAAGAAATGACAGCTACTATAAGCATATTTTTTGGAGCCCTGGTGGCGCAGTGGTTAAGAGCTTGGCTGCTAACCAAAGGTCAGCAGTTCGAATCTACCAGCTGCTCCTTGGAAACCCTACGGAGCAGTTCTACTCTGACTTATAGGGTCGCTATGAGTCAGAATTGACTCGACGGCAACAGGATAAGATTTGGTTGCAAGCATATTTTAACTTCTCAGTGTATCAAAGTACAAATTTCTGTTTTTAGGCAAAGTACAAATTTCTGTTTTTAGCTGGTCTTTATCTACCTTGATTATCAGCATGTTTAAAATATTTAAGCTGGCAGCTTTAAAAGTCACAGCTTGACTAGAACTTACTATGCTGAGTGAATTTAGTCAGTCACAGAAGGACAAATACTGTATTAGATCACAATTATAAGAACTCAAGAAAAGGTTTAAACACAGAAGAAAATATTCTTTGATGGTTATAGGAGTGGGGAGGGATGGTGAGGGTGATTCACTAAGTATATAGCAGACAAGAATCATCTTAGCTGAAAGGAAGGACAGCACACACTACATGGGAAGTCAGCATAACTGGACTAAACCAAAGCCAAGAAGTTTCCTGAATAGACTCAAATACTTTGAGAGACAGAGCAGCAGGGATGGGGGGTCTGGGGACCATGCTTTCAGGGGACATCTAGGTCAACTGGCATAACAAAGCTTATTAAGAAAATGTTCTGCATCCTACTTTGGTGAGTAGCATCTGGGGTCTTAAAAGCTTGCAAGCGGCCATCTAAGATGCATCAATTGGTCCCAACCACTTGGAGTAAAGGAGAACGAAGAACACCAAAGACACAAGGAAAGTATTAGCCCAAGAGACAGAATGGGCCACATAAACCAGAGACTTCGTCAGCCTGAAACCAGAAGAACTGGATGGTGCCCGGCTACCACCAATGAACGTCCTGACAGGGATTACAACAGAGGGTCCCTGATGGAGCAGTAGAAGGATGGGGTAGAACTCAAATTCTAGTAAGAAGACCAGACTTAATGGTCTGACTGAGACTGGAGGCGCCCCGGAAGGCACGGCCCCTGGACTCTCTATCAGCCCAGAATTAAAACAACTTCCAATGCCAACTCTTCAGACAGGGATTGGACTGGACTGTCGGACATAAAGTGATACTCGTGAAGAGTGTGCCTCTTAGTCAAGTAGATACAAGAGACCAAAGGGGCAGTTTCTGTCCAGAGGTGAGATGGGAAGGCAGAGAGAGTTAGGAGCGGGTTGAATGGTCATGGGGAATCAGGGGCAGAAAGGAGGAGTGTGCTGTCGCAGAATGGAGTGAGCAATTAAGGTCTCATAACAATGTATGCAAAAAAAAAAAATTCTTTTGTATGGGAGACTAACTGGAAATGTAAACTTCATTTAATTACAACAATAAAAAAAAAAGTCGCAGCTTGAGCTTAAGCTCTCACATTCATTTAACAAATATTTATTTATTAAATGCTTATTGTTGGTATTATTATTGGGTGACATGGAGTTGATTCTGACTCATAGCAACCATATGTGACAGAGTAGAACTGTTCTGCAGGGTTTTCTTGCCTGTAATCTTCATGGAAACAGACTGCCACGCTTTCTCCCACAGAGTTGCTGGGTGGGTTCAAACTGTCAATCTTCTGGTCAGTAGCTGAGAGCTTAACTGTTGGGCCACTAGGGCTCCTTTTATTAAATGCTAACCATGTGTGAAATCAATGTGTCTTAGGGACTCTAGAAAAAACAAGGAATCACTTGTACTGGGTGCATATAAGGTAAATAGGTTGTATCCTCCAAGGTTGCAACAGACAGCAAAGTCCTTCAAAATACAATTATCAAAATTTAAAAAGGAGGAAAAGGATTGGACATCTACTTTCAGTTAATGTGTTTTAAGAAAAAACCCAAAACTCACTATCAAACCATCTGAGGGTGAAAGAAGGAAGATCAGTGCTTACTTAAAATGTCTTAGAAGCAACCAGACTGAAAACAATGGCACAGATT